CAATTCAAACATATATGTTTCCTGCCACTCACTGAGCTTAGCCCTTCACCAAAATAGAATAGTCAGATTACTTTTGTACAACAATCCATGCGGCTTGACTCCACCAAGCAATGGTTAAAGCCTATCCAATCTTGAAGTCTACTACCCCTTTTAGAAACACGAATTTGCCTTTCTCTTTCCCTGATTCAAATCAAAAACAAAAACCGCCTTCTTACCAAAAGAAACCGCCTTTCTAAAGACAAAATTTTTCTAGTCTCAAAATTAAAACTTCGCTCAAATCTCTCCAAATGAGGCTCAAACTACTCAGAATCTACTAAAAACACTAATGGAGTGAAAAACAAACAAGAAATTCAAAGAAGAAATGAAGAATTTACCGTGCTATGTCGCCAAATTGTCGGAGATGAAAGCTCTTCATTACTTCTAAAATTGGGTTTTACAGAAAAACAGCGAAATGAAGTCGAGGAGGCACTTAAAAGCCTGTATATTCTTTCTCCTATTAAATGAGCAACTTGCCATCGATTCCACGTGGTTGCCATCCAATGGTTTTTGAAAAATGGGCGCAAAGTTATCCCGCCCATTTCTAGTCAAACATCCTAGCCATACACGTCTCTACTAGCCTTATTTTGGACATGAGAGGCTAATGTCACTCGGCTCTGCCATGGGATAACATCCAGAACTAGGGCTAGTTAACGAACCGAGCCGCTCGCGAGCCAGCTCGTTAACGGCTCGGTTCACCTAATAACGAGCCGGCTTGACTCGGCTCGTGAGACAAAACGAGCCGAGTTCGAGCCATACAAGGCTCGGCTCGTCCGGCTCACGAGCCGCGCCTGGCTTGAAAAAGCGGGAGGGTCTTCGAGAATTTCTGAAACATTGGGACTTAATTATCATAATGCAAACAAGTTTTGAAAAATAACAAACTGGCCCCCATTATTAAAATCCCCAAATCGCACAAAATCTATCAGACTCGAACCCTTGCCGTAAAATTTGAATCAAATCCTCCCAAAGTGTTGATTTGCGGCCAGATCTTGTTCATATTCGTTAGCTTCGCCGGATCTTCGCCGGATATTGTTCATCTTCGTCGGACCTTCGGCAGCCGTTGGATCTTCATCATCTTCATTGGATTTTCGTCAGATCTGAACTGGATATCATCGGTTTGTCATCAGTCCTGGCTGGTCGATTGAGATTTAATTGTTTGTTTGGGGTTTCTTCAATTTTTGTCAAATTTTAACTTGTTTTTCGTGATTTGTTCGCCTGTAACAGGGGGCTTTTTCCGGTGAAAGATTTCAGGAAGAGCTGTCTGTGAAGAGTAGTGCCATGGTGGTGTTGTGCCGTAAAAGTTATCCCCAGTCGTGATTTTCGTCGCCGTCATCAGGATAACTCCCAGTCGAAATTTCATCGGTTTTCGTCATCAGATTCTTCCACCGTGTTGTTCATCGGATTTTTATCGCATTTGGAAGTTCGTCGCGATTTTTCTGTTCACCGTGAAACAGATCTAAGAGGCAAAAAAAAAAAAAAAAGAAAGAAAGAAAAAGCTTCGCTTGGTGGGCCTTCCTACGCTGACAAATGCCTCCTTTCTCTTCTCTAAAGTCTACAATATTCAGAGTTTCAGACCTGCCGCCTGCATGCTGCCAGGAAATTTATTAAAAAAAAATTTGAATTTTGAAAAAAAAAAACTAAATTTTTGGAGGTTGGCTCGCAAGCCGGCTCGAAATCGGCTCGTGAGTCGGCTCGAAATATACTTAAATTTCTCTCGAGCCGAGCCGAGCCATAAAATCTAAGACTCGACTCAGCTCGAACTCGGCTCGATATTTAATCTTTTTTCTCGAGCCGAAAACTCGGCTCGTTAACACCCCTATCCAGAACTAAGAGAACATTTATGGGAAGAGGGTCATTAAACTGAAACTCTAGCAAACATTTATCAAAGTTAGCCTGGGGCATATTCGGCAATCCATTTGGCTCGGCTGTTCGGATAAAGTCACAAAAACATTTGCCTATGGTTCGGCTCCCCTAAATCAATATTTGCCTTACAAATATTTGCCAACCTTCACTCAAAAGTCACCCAGATTGTTATAAGCCTCACTTTAAATCCTTAAGATTCTTTTAACTCTTTAATAGAAATCGAAAAGAGAAGAAAATCTGAGATACTCTGGGGAAGAAACTCAAAAGTAGGTTTTCGTAAGCCATAACCACCAAACTTCGAAGTGGATTGGAGAAGAACCAAGAGATAAATTTGGAGAAGCCAATAGGGTATGAGATAATGGACCTCTTGGAGAAGTTGAAGGAGTTAATGGACAGAGATTAGGGTTCCACAACGCTTCTAGCGAAAGTAGGAGAGATAATGACAGAGAGAGCGAGAAAAGAGGCAAAATTGTTGAGAGATGAAGGAAAAGTTGAGGACAAAATGGTGATAGAGTTGTCTAGAGTTTGGAGGTTGATGGAGATGGACATGGCCATCGTGAAGGCTGCTGTTAAAGAAAAGACTTTGGGTGAAAGGCTTAAGCAAGCTAAAGCTCGCTGCAAACAAGCCATACTTGTTGCTAATTCTTTTCGAACAATAATATATATATATATATATATATATATACATGATTCCCAAATCGGTGTATCAAAATTCAATCACAAAACCCAAAACCCACCCATGCTTAGCCGAGTCAGAGTGGCAAGGGCGAACTAGAAACTGTGTATAGGGGCATAGTCTCGGGTTCAATTCTCACAAAGAGCAAAATGCCCATGATTTAACTGGGAGGCCACAGTGGTGGGTGTTGTGGTAGCCTCCGTGAGGACTTTTATGTAAGAATTACAAAAATTACAAGTACTATGAATTACAAAAATGACGAGTACTCTATCTCTAACTTGTAATTTCCATGAGTAATGCTTTAAAAAGTTGCTGGGGTTTATATCAATTTTTTTTTTTTTTTTCTATACAATGAATGTTTGGAGGATTATCAATAATCAAGTTATACATCATTCCTTTTCTTTATTTTCTTTTACTTTCATATGCAAGCTATTAGGATCTTTGATTAATTATGGATGATTGGGTTTAGGTACCCACCATTTTTTTTTTTTTTTTTAAGGAATCAGAATCGGAATCGAAACTGGTCGGTTCCTAGAGTACGGAACAGGGGAGGTTCTGGTTCTTGAATAGGTCTCAGGTTCCTGTTCTAGTCCAAGGTACCTGGGAAGATTGCAAATGATCTCTATTAGTTTCTAAAATTACAAATAACCCTAAAAATTACAAATACACCCCATCTGTTTATTGTTCTTTCTTTATCATTTCGTTTGAGATCCACAAGTTGGTTGGCCACCATAATTAGGAAAGAAAGAGATCTACAGTTTCAATTCATTGCAATTAATCCGCACTCGATCGAATTTTATGAGAGTTATTTATTTATTTATTTTCAATTATTCTCTTTGCAATTTTGAATGTTTAGCATGAAATTTGTGCCATGATCTTATTTCTTTTTCATTCTTGAATTTTATAGTTTAATTAACTATTTAAAGTTCCATTAAAAAGATAATTATAATTAGTTAGTCCGCTTGCTTAAACATTAATGAATAGCTTACAAAATTTTCATATGGTTAAAACTTATTAAAATAATAATAAATACAATTTAGACCTTTTCATTCTATGTAATTTTTTTTATTATTTTAAAATATATAAGAATGATTAAATAATTGATTTCATGGAATATCACATCAACAATTAAACATTGGGTTTGAATACGAGAGAATATAAATCTTTCTTAATAATTTCAATATGTTTATCAATATAATCTCACTTTAAAATCGAGTAAATAACTTTTTACCACCCAAATAATAACTTAATAACACTTTTCCACCAAAGACTTTTAAAATACCATTTACTACCCAAATTTATATTCTATTTACTATCAAAAATATTTGACGGCGAATAGGGAACAAACTCAGTTTAGGATGTAAGGTCTTTTGAAAAGGGTTAATAAGTCTTTTGGTAGTGACATATTGAATTTTAACGTGATTGGTTGAAAGTTGACATCAGACCGATGACATTAACAATAAAAAATATTATAGAAATACCCCTAAAAATTGCTAATTAGTCTCTAAAATTTTAATATATTACAAAAATACTCCTAAATAGTTACAAATTAGTCCCTAAAGGTTTGAAATTGTGGAAACACCCCTAGAAAATTAAAAGTAGACCCTTAAAGTTTAAAGTATAACAAAAACCCTCTAAAACAGTAGTGGAACCTAAACTAGACCGGAGAGGCTGTCAAGTCCCAATCATTGTTTTAAAACCCGGACCGGAGGGCAAACCGTTTTGTTGTCCGGGTCACGGTTCAATCGGTCCAACCGGTTGGACCGGTCGGTTGGACCGATGACGTCAGCAATATTTTATTTAAAAAAATTACATATTAACCCCTTAAATCTCAATATATTACAAAAATTCCCCTAAAAAAGTTCAAATTGGTCCCTAAAATTTTTATTTATTCCAAAAATGCCCCAATAAAATTACCAATTAATCCCAAAACTTTTGATATATCTTCAAAATACCCCTATAAAATTACAAAGTAACCCTCATAATTTTAAAATATTTCAAAAACCCCCCTGAGACCAAAACCGAACCGGAGAAGCTACCGGTTCCCGGTCCAATAGGTCCGACCGGTCGGTCCGGTCCGGTTTTTAAAACAGGGGTCCCAATTCAACCAATCCGACGTCCAACCAGTTTGATTCGAGTTTTAAAACAATATCTGCACAAACCCTAATCACTTAGTTGTCAACGATTAGTAGGGTCAATGAAAACAAGGTTTAAGGGGTTTTGATGAGTAATGATCAGAAAAAAGAATAGTGATTATGGTAACAACACTGTCGGAATCGGCCGATGAGCGCACTCCCACCCTAATTTGGGTGCGAAAAAGTCATTAACTCCTTTAAAATCCTAAATTAATCTTTCAAAGACAAAAAATATTCATAAATAATATAAATTAAAAAAAGGAGTAGTAAGATTAGTAACTGTATGGCACAGTAAGATTTGTTTGGTAAACGGTAAATGGAAAATTACATAGTACCCCCATGACTTTATGAACTATCACTGAACCCTTGATTCCCAATAGGGTACGATAACCCCGGTTTTGGAACCAAAACCTATGCTACCCTCTGCAGGCCAGTTCCAGGTAGGAAACTGAAACTAGGACCCCAGTAAACCTCCGATTCTAACCAATTTTCATGGTTATTACCCCTAATTAGCATACGGATATTGGGATCGTCTTTCGGAATTTTACTAAGTATTTTCCTTGCACCTCGACGATCACCTGAAACCAAAAGGGCTCGATACATCCTGCAAAAATTTGGAAAAACATCCAATTATAAGTTGTGGAAAAAGATAAAACTCTCATTATTCATAAAAAAACATAAAATATAAAAACAGGAACAAGCATATCTTACCATAAAACAACTAAAAGTAACATAAGGTAAACCTGCTGTCTTATATTCTTTCCAAATCAAACGAGAAATTTGCAGATTTTTCTCTTTCACACAAACACTGAGAAGAAAATCAAAACATTCAGGTAGTAGAGCAAGGTCAAGTTTGTTCTTCATGATCCGAAGCAAGTCTAAGCCAAATTGTGAATCGGTGGGCTCTTCTGCTATTGCCTAGAATAGCTACACGGTAATAAAAATGAAAGGATAAAATACAAGGTTCAACACATTAATTCATAATCATACTATAAATATACAAAGAAAATCTAGATACTACAATATTCTAACTAGACACATGATATTTGCATACTCATTGATAAACATGGAAACGAACTGGTATTAAAAGTTTGCATATACTACTATTATAATATGTCTTCCAACCAACCACAATAATTTTGCAAACCAACAATGCATGTGATTAGAGCAAGCAGATTATATTATAAATGGGACAAAAAAGAATAGGAGCAAACCTGAAACAAAAAGACTTCCGAAACAAAACGACTAGGTTTGATTTCATCCTTGAGTTGCTTAAGTAAAGGAACCGCATAGCTAGAATGAAAGAGGATCAACATAGGCAAACTGGCTAAGTAAATTGATTAAACAAGAAAAAAAAAGTGAGTTTTGTATAAGGACCTTAAGCTCCTGCATCCAACAGCGACCACAATCACTGCTTCGCAACCAACAAGCCAATAGGGTGAATCTTTCAAATCCTCCAATATCTGAATCAATATACTCAAGTTTTCTTCCGAAAGGAGATGAAGCTAAGATAGGAATAGATATTGTCATTGCATTGAAAAAACATGAAACATAAAATATTTCTATATAAAACTTACAATAAGATCAAAGGCAGCTTTAGGCTTCAATCTCCATCCAGCTTGCTTGATTTCTTCATATATAACAAGGGCATCAAACTTTTGTCCATTCGATGCAAGAGCTAAGACAAGTGATCCTTTGATTTCATTTAGGCTTTCAGCTAGAATACATTTGTCTAAGATCACCTATTATGGAAAATGGTATACATTAGATTATCATAAATCGACAATTCAATCTAGATACGCCTTCAGGGCTAAAAAAAAGAATTTTCTATTAGCTAAACTACATCAAGAAAAGCAATGCAATGGATTTAAACACAAGTGAAGATGTATATCGCACTATCTGAGTCCATGGATTAATTGTATAAAGCAAAATAATGTAACAAAATGGAGAATATGATATATGTTTATCCAAAAGTAGTAGCAACATCAAATCAAATCATGCAGACAAGTCTACCAGAAGCATATATGTTTTTATCCAATATGCAGCAGCATAAAATCACATCATGCAGACAAGTGTCATATTTCCAATGACCAATCCAAAAAAACTTTTGCATTCAATGGATTCAAGCAAAATCAAGATGTGACATGCACCAATACCTGTTTTGCCTTCTCAAACTCTCCACAAGATGCATATGCAGTAATAAGTGCCATGAAGACTTGCTTTGTAGCTTGAACTCTGCAGCACGTCATTTCTTCATAATACTAAAAGCCAAAAACCAAATTATCACATCACTTATTGAGAAATCCATCTTTGGCAATAAGATGAAAAGGAAAAAAAAAAAAAAATTGTAGGAGAACATCATAAAACTGTTTATCAATAACAATAAAATAGTATCTACTCTTCATAGGCAAAAGGATAAAATGAACTTCTCGTTAAAACAGGAATCTTAAACTACCTTGACAATATCTTTTTCATTGCTACAATTTTCTATCAGGTGGCTGAAAGTTTGAGAATTGGGTTTCACATCTGCCTTTTCCAGCCATGTCTTTCTACAGTGCATTTAGCCACATAGGAAGTCAAAACACAAAATGAGACAAACATCATATATTCAATAGCATATATCGAGAGTGAAAAAGTCACCTTCTGAAAATACCCATCCATTATAGCATTGTACATGTCTGCAGTCAGCATCAAGTTCATTTTATTTTCATCACAGAGCATTGCATATGCACCATCAAACTATATTGGAACAGTAAAGTTTCAACATTAACTAGTATAATGTTAAGTTTCAACCATAGGATACTTAAGTGTTTAGCACATCACAATATTTAAAAAAAAAAAAAAAAAATCAACACAAGCTAGATGCGCAACTACTTACATCACACATTTTCACATTTAAACTTATCATGCGCCTGGAGGTCTCGCTATTTGCCTTCAAGTTAAGGTGGCAGATAGTTGAATAGACTTGCTAACTCTGAAATAAGAAACAAATAATTAAATGCAACAGAAATAGATTCAAACAACACCAAGGATTAACCATGCATGAATATACATGGCTCTTCATATTTTTTGTTTATACTAAGAGGAATTTTTTCGTGGCAAAAGAGTACAATTTAGCTAATATCTTCAAGGCCCCAGATCATGCACCATAGCTCAGATCAATGTGGTGCACCAACAGAGATCAGTAATATGACAATAATTAGACAATTAAACTAACCATCAGAAGTCATGACCATTCCAGTGAACTAAAGTTCAAGATTCCTTGATTTCAAACATGGTGGATTCACTTTCATTCCAACTTCCTTCGTTTATTTATTTATTTACATTTTATAAAATGATATATAAAAATTGGTTATTCATATGTTCGGAATGAACATTTAAAATTTCACATATCAAAGAAGACCAAAAACACGATTTTTTTTTTTTTTTTTTACTATACCTAGAAATATCACAAAAGAAATTGTCTGGTATGACATTGTTATTAGTTCATCATCGTTATACATGACAAATACAGAGACTCTTGAAATCATTGTTAGCAATTCAGTAATTAAAATCATGTTTCTTATTACTAGTGAGTCCTAACAACCCGCAGTCTAAGTATTTATAATATCTACACAAATATACAAACAAGAAAATGGTCAGAGTCAAACCTACATACCAAATTATATGTTAAGGACTTGTCACAAGCAATCAAAACAGAGTTTAGTGTGTCTATGGATGGTGTCAATCCAGCTTCAGACATTTCATCAACTATATCAAGAGCCAAAAGCACCTTCGAAATGAATCAAACATATATTAGTTTAACTTTAATTTTCTGCCAAATAAATAGCAATTAGAATTCAAAAATTGTATGATAACACAATTAGATTAAAAAAAAAAAAAAAGAGGAAAACAATTTTTCAATAATCCACATGACACCATAATCCTAAAAAAACTATGTTCAAATTTTTTCATCTTTCTTTTCCACTTTCCTTTAATTAGTCGGATTTCTCCTTCTACAAATAAATTGGATTCACACCTCGTATAAATCACAAGTATAAGCAATGAGCTTCTCATAGGAGGCAAAAGAAGGTTTGATCTCCAGCTTGGCATGCAACTCTTTAAACTTTGAAATAATATCCTCACCCTTCAATTTATAACAATATATGGAAAGAAAACAAAGATGAAAAACACATGTAAGTTGATCAGTTTTTAAGTTAATACTGCTTATGCATAGAAGCAATAAAAAAGTTACATAACTAGAAAAAAAGGTTAATATATATCTAAAGCCTTTTAGATGCCAAAACATTCATAAATCATAAAACATAAAATAAGATGTTGATTGCAGACAAGATGCAATGAATATCCCACAATAAAAATTTGTCATGTAACGCCAAAGTACCTAGCTTGTACGCGAAAATACAATTTCCCAATTGATGACCGCAAAATTAGGGGGAGGTATTGATCTGCATGGATGACTGATAGATAAACAAAATAGAGACCCTGAAAACTTGACCAATTGTATAGATACTTAATGATTCTCTCAACGTCACCAAAACAAAACAAAAAAAAAAAAAAAAAAGCTTTGGTTTCCTCAAAAATGCCCCGTAAAGTAACCTTCTCAAACTTTAAGAAAAATAGATTGAGAGCCAAAAAGTAATAAAGTTAAAAAAAAAAAAAAAAAAAATAGTATTGCCTAACGAAGGTGAACTAGTACAAGCTCTTCAAAGTTGACAAAAATTAGATTCTTCCATTTTTTGCTCCTTAGGAATGGTACAAATTGAATTGATAAGGTATAACGTCTCACTTAAGGTACGTAACTATTGCTGGTTGTATTGTCTAAATGTTTATTGGTTTACTCTTAATGAGTTGTAATTGTTCATATTGTTTGGTTGGCCCTTTGGTGAATTGGTTTTGGTTTGGTTGAGTGTTTGCCCTGAATTGGTTAAGACTTGGCGAATTTTGAAGTTACATCTTCGCCGGGCCGAGGAATAGTCTTCGCCGCGGGGACGTAGCTCTGGATTTCTTCGCCGGGCGACGGAAAAGTATTCGCTGAGCGAAGACCGACTGAAAAGTTGGGTGAAGTTTCTAGAGATTTTCCATAAGGGCAAAGTGACCATTATACCCCTATTAGCAGGAAAAGTGGGGGTGAAATGTAAGAAAATTTCATGGAGAATGTGTTAGAGTTGGGGGGGTGATTGCAATGATCAAAGATAAAGATGGATTTTTCAAAAAAAGCAAGGGCAAAATGGAAAGATGTGTGTAATGTAGCTATTAAGGATTAAGCTTAGTAAACCCTTCATTTCACTACTTCCACCGCCATTCCCATTCACCATTTTCTCTCAACTTCTCACTCAATCTTTTAAGGATTTTTTTGGTGGCTTTTGGTGGGCTTTTGAGTAGTTTTTGATAGAGAGTTAATCTAAGCATCCTAAGGTAAGGATTCTTGCTTTAGATTGTAAATTTACTTATAGATATGTTGAAGTCTATAGTATTGTTGTTTAAAGTTGTAGAGAAAGATTTATCTACCCAAGGAAAAAGAAGTGCTAGTGGAGTCACTCTATCACAAGTAATAAATCCAACCCAAGTAAGTGTAAGAAATCATTGAGTAGAGATTCCTTTATGTATGTGTGTGTGTATATATATAATATATATAAATATATAATATATATATATATATATATATATATATATATATATATATAATATATATATATATATATATATACTTGTTGAGAAATTGAGATGAGATGTGTATTGAGTTTATGGTTGTTGGATATGTCTACATTATGAGAAGTGTTTGATGTGTGAAGAGAGATTGAAGTTGAGTTGAAGTTAGAGGAGTTTTGCATAAATCTTTTTGGGAGTGTTTTCCTTGACAGGAACTTAGAGTATATGAGGGAGTTTCCTCCTACCATGGATGATTAAAGAGAGGAGAAGAGTTATATTTAAAATAGAGTTTGATATGCACACCTATTGTTTAATGAAATGCATAAGAGATGCATGAGTATGAGTAGAGAACCTTAATTATTGCAACATTGCATATTTGCATTTCATAAGTGCATTAATGAGCATGAGCCATCCATATGCATTGATTGTGCATTTGAGAAGTAGCTTGAGAAAGAGTAGAGAGTATTGAGAATAAGCTACTCTAAGAGTAAAGAGAAAGAGAGAATAAACACTAGAGAATAAGGGAGAGAGAAGTGTTAAAGAAGAGAATAGAGTAGGTTGTACAATAGGGAACCCATGAGTGATGGGTAGAGTATTCCCGCATGTATGCCGCATTGAGAGAGCGGCCTGAGTATGAAAAAGATAAGTGGTATAGCCCGTGAGAGTGCATGCGGATGAGGGCTATACCCTAGAGTACCTGAGAGAGAGAATATACACTCATATGGCCAAGGGTTCCGAATCCATGCATAACCGAGTCCGATCGACAGAGAATGAGTAGAAGTCACAAAGAGTGGGAGTAAGTCTCGGCCGTGTCTCCGGTAAGATGGAGTCGTGACATCCAAAAGAGAGAGAGAGAATGAATAGAAGTCACGAGAGCGGAAGCGAGTCCCAGCCATGCCTCCGGTAAGATGAGGTTGTGACATACAAAAGAGATAGTAGAAAAGAGTTGTGAGAAACAGAAACAGAAAGAGAAAAATAGAGAGAATTATAAAAGAGAAAGTAAATGAGAAGAGAGTAATGTAAGGAAAGAATTAAGAGAAAGAGTTACGAGGATAGTCGAGTAGAGGATTTACTAAATGAGCATTGTTTGTGCTCACCTCGTTGTTTGTCTGTGTTTTTGCAGGATCTAGGTGAGGACGCGGTCGGATGGACATCGGCAAGCGAGGAGCAATAGCTACACTGTCCACTATTTTTGATGACTTTTGTACATGATACTATATTTTGTATAATGAATGTGTATAATTAATAAAAGAAAATTTTGGGCCTAATTACTTTTACTAATATACATGTATTTTTCTTATGTGTTACTTTATGAGTATATGAGTAGAAAGCAGCTATTACATAAGGCATAGTCTAGAAACATTATCTTTTTCCAAAGTGTCACCTTAAAAAACAAGCCATTTCAACAGGAAAAAGGTCCAAATGTAGCATTTAGAAATAGTAACCTCCCTCAAACTACAAAAAAGAGAGAAAGATTTCAATGAAAAAACTCCACTAAGGCTTGTCTATCATACCAAAATATATTCCTCGGAAGAATCTATCACAACTGAAAAAAATTAGAATTTCTTAATAAGATAAGATACAAAAAATCCAACCAGTTAAGCCGTAATTAAATGTGGCTATATGATTTCTTTTGAGAACTTAGGGTTTACTTGATTTAGCACACCAAAGGGGTTTTACTTCAACCTCCCTACAAAAAACCAATCAACTCATGAGTTTCCTAAATTTTATATGAAGTAAAAGTAGAATGAAGTTTTTAAAATGAAATAGCAAACTGTATGTGTACTTAAGAGTGTCTCATAGGATCATGGTCCCTTGAAAATTACCAGGATGATTCATGAGAAGTTGCTCACCTTTAAATTTAGAATGTCAAAGGTGTAGCTAAAGATGACATTTGAGACATTCTTTGCTCCATAATCTACAATTTTGCCAAGCATGGATAGCTTTATTAATAACAAGTTCCTAGTCTTCCATCAGACCCTACACATTCTCTATTACAGATTCCACTGACAAGGTAAGTGAACTTAATTGTTTAGGATACATATGAAAGATACAGCATAGATGCATTAGCACAATTAATTGCATAATGAACTACCCAAAGTTAGTTATCCAAAATATCATTAAAGCTTTGTATAACTGCATAATGTTAAAATAATACATACAGTTATGAAACAAATTTAAAAGATTGAGATATTAAGTATGAATAATGTTTGAAAAAGTACAGCAAACAAATAAACAAATAACTTCTTTGCTTAAGAAATCAAGATTGTCACTAGTATTTCCATATGAATAGATGATGAAAAGTATGGCTTGTTCTCTACCAATCGTATTGTAAAACTAGTAGATAATCTAGTATCCCTATTTTATATTCCTCAATTCTGATTTGGAAAGCAAGAGTCCCTAGCAAAGTAAAGATTTTGGCATGGAAAATAGCCCCATAAAAAAATTAACACCAATGACTTGCCCCAAATTGGAAGACCCAAGGCATGCCTCTCTCCGATTCAATACATTAATGTGTAAAAAAGAGCCCAGGATTCAATGCCTAGATTCATACTAATTTAGCAACTTATTTTAAGGCTCCTTGATTCTTATTCCGCGTCTATTTTGCAACTGCAATTAGTTTTTGTCCTAAAAACTTTGTCACTTACACTAGCAACAAAATTGTATTGCACTCAGATATGAATTCCCCAAACATATCTAGAGGTAGTGTAAATAAGAATTTAGTAAATGCTTAATAAGAAGTTTCCAGATCAAGGAAAATGAAAAAACCATGTACATACCAGATATTTTTAATGCTAAAAGATACTTCTCCGCAAAGGACTCCAACTCTGGCCTCCCCAAGAATTAAAAAATACTCATCACATGGTCCAGTGAGGAAGCCTTTGTTATGTCCACAGTCTCCAAAAGTTGCAAAAATTCACTATTCCTTTTGCTTTCACAAAGTGCTAACAAGTAATTCTCTGCAGTGCAAGGGTTGAATCTTGTAAGCCCAGTAATGCAAAGTAGGCAATTATTAAATTAAAAGGGTAAACCAAAACACTTATCAAATAATAAATCTATTGACGGGAAACAGGTATAGAGTCAAGATGACATTGAACCACGTGCCTATCAAGTTGAAATAGTCTCCCCCATAATCAATTGCAGGGCTATGGCCCGTCTTTTTGTAAAGTAATATGGATATATCAATTTTTTATTAAAATTGGTCTTATGACCTCTTTGCCAACAAAATTGTGGTGTGATAACCAAGTCGCTCTTTATATTGCTTCTATTCTCGTATTTTATGAACGAATTAAGCACATTGAAATTGACTGTTATTTCATTCGTGAGAAAATACAACAAGGTTTAATTTCTACAGGATATGTGAAGATTGGAGAGCAACTAGGAGATGTTTTCACTAAAGCTTTGAATAGGGTTCGGATTGATTATATTTGTAACAAGCTGTGCATGATTAACATCTATGCTCCATCTTGAGGGGGAGTGTTATAGATAATCATGCAAAATCTTACAGATATTGCATGATTAAGTGTATAAATCTAAAATAGGATATTAGGATTATAATCAATACATATTAGGAACAAATCTGTAAAATAGAAAGTTAGATTATTTATTTCCTAGATTAAATTATTTATTTCTTAGATTAGTTCTTTATTTTCCTATATATTAATGTATAATTTATCAATACAATATGAAAAATATTACAATCAGTTCTCTGTTTGTAACAATTCTAAAGAGAAATAAATTGTACAGTTCTCAAGAGAAATAAATTGTTCACTGACAAAGCTGTAAGTTGCTACCTTCAAAACTATTTGCTGCATTCTTGCTTTTATCAAAGACATGTTTTTCGTAGCCTAAGACCTTTAAAATCATCAAAGGAGCAGAGCCTGAAAAAATATTCTTTTTCTTTTATTTCAAAATTATGAGTTTTTTCATTCTAAAGACTAAAGTTGTGAATTAGTAAAGAGAATTCAAAAGTCAGATTTTTTTGTTTCCCTATTATTTTTTCTAGGTATAGAAATAATTTAAATGAAATCAAAGCAGTGGCGAGGGAGTTGAAGATAGTGCTAAAACGAGAAATCTGAAATCAGTGAAGAAGATAACACATTGCTTTCAAAGTTGAAATATGCAATGGAGAGTATGAGACTGATTTGCATAACCGCGGCACAAATGATGACCAAGACTTTGCTGGTAATTTGGTGACATGCTTTTTTATTCTTTTTAAACTAGCAAAGCTTGCATTTGAATAATTTCTGATCATGAATGATATGTGATTTTGTGGAATTTATTAGGCTTAGTTATCTGGTTGCTGAATTGTCCATTTTCCAACTTGAGGTAGGGAATTCCCATTGATAAAAACAGTTTAGAGTAGTGCATCTGTGTCCGATTATCTTATTAGTTTCTTGCCCCAGTCTTTTGATGAGTTTGTTATTGATAATTTTACTCAGACAATCATAATGTTCCTGTTTAATCTTGTTTTGAATTCAGTGTTCTGATTGTTTGTTACAATTTGTTCTAGCTCGGCTGACATTTTATTGGCAGCTGTTCAAAGGTTTCATCTGTTTATCAGTAGTACTTAAAATGAAACTAAATGCAAATGTGTCTATTATGTGTTTACTCTCCGATGATTTAAGCCCTGGTTCGCATTCCTTATTCGTGGCACATGAATTTTGTTCGCAGACATTCACATGAATTTTGTTCGCAGACATTTGCAGATCGAAGAATTCATGAACCAGCTTATTGCTGCCCTTCTCAGATGGACCTTTGGATATGGACATCACAAATTTCCGTAGCACATCGCCAAATACTTGTTAGACGGATGAAGGTGCGGTTCCGTTTGAAAAGCTTACTGTTTCCAATGTCTAGAACCATAACATTCAACTTCTGTAATCATCTTCATTTCATGAAATTCTGGAATTTTAGGTTCCAAAATTGGTCTGTTGCATTACGTGGTACATAGTTTGATATTTTTACATTATCACAATAATAAGATGGAAAATCGTCAATCCTTTCCAACAATGCGTGGGCTTTGGTTTCACAGGTACTATAAGTATCTATATCATAAGCTGATAAATTTCAAGAAATTTAGAAGGTAACAATTTATACTTCTATATGCTGGATGTATGTATTTCTAATCAATCACAATGTATCTACATATTACATCTGTATTTTCGATCGATCACAATATATTTATAGATCATGTAATCTAATGTAGTATTTTCTCCGTATTGCATACGTGTATGCAATTATTTAAGAGACGTGTAGATCACAAATATTTGATGTTACAACGTCTTATTAGTTGAATACACATGCCCCGTGACTGTTATCTATCCTATAGTTTGATATGTTCTTATTATTCTATTATTGGCTTTATTGGAAGGTTAACTTTCTCATATTGCCAGATGGATCAATCATGGTAGCACACATGAACTATGGATCATGAACTCCTACATTTCATGATTGACGGGTGGTGGAATGATCCACTAGGAGGAAGACGCGTAACTGTGATGGTGTCAGTGATTGTTGGAATAGTACACTGCCAGGTGACAATAACAATAATTTCGTGTTGCAAAATTTCAAGTTTCGAAAGCAGACAAAACGACAGTGTTTTATTACGTGTAGTAATTGTAGTATCAATAAAAGCAGGACATGTTTCAATAACAATAATTATTGGCTTTATGGGCAGGTTAACTTTTCCATCATATGTTGAATGTTGATGCGCATTACCTTTTTTTAATTTTAATATTATTATTATTTTAAATTAAGGTGTTTGAGTCAATTTATGTACACTTTAACTAATAATTGAAGAAGACTAACACAACAATCTATTGTTTTGATCCCTTATTTAAATCGCGGATATTCAGATGGTGAATAGAACTTGACCGTGCATTGAAAAAGTTGCATCGTGTTTTTATCTTTTTTATTTCTTTGTTTCAAATTTCAATTATTTATTATTATTATTATTATTATTATTATAAAGATGTTCCGATCATTTTAACCCCTTTTTTTCTTAATTAATTATAATTAGGATGAGAATTGTAAGTTCATATTTGAGAAGTATCAAAATTAAATGAACCCAAATTATATTTTGTATGTATTTATTTATTTGAATCTAAGATTCGAATTGAATTAAGTGAATATTATGGGTTTTATTCCAATCAAAGCATATTTGTTTTGTGTGCTTCAAATTAATTGAAGGGATGAAAGGAAAATTTTCTTCCTTTATTTTTATTTTCAATATAAATAATATTTTTATGTTTTTAAATTTATAAAATAAGAAAGAAGAAAGGAAAATATTATTTGTTGATGCTTAATTTTGATACCAACTAATCGCACGTAGGAAATGCTGAGCTGACTCAGAGATCACATGTGAATATAGGGGTATTGGATTGAATAAAAGATCAAGAACAATGTTTAAAGTGGTTCGGATGCTTAATCAAGCGAATCCTACGTCCACTGATATTGTATTAATATGTAGGATCAGGTCGCGTTTAGCGAGCTGATTTATAGCTTGGAGGATACAAGAGAGAGAGAGAGAGAGAGAGAGAGAGAGAGTATGCTATTCCAGAGTGAAATTAGCTAATCCCACAAACAGGAGAGGAGCCCTCTATTTATAGTAGGATGGATTAAGGTAATGATTACTAAATCTGTGAGTGGGTCAGGTTGTCGTGCAAATCCTTCTTTGTGTCCTATTGCTCACCTACTAGAGTGATTTCCTCGACTTGTACAGGGATTGGACACGTGGGTCGTTTCCAGCCTTTCGCTAATCTAGCGCACACCCATTGCATTGGCAAGAGCATGCCGCTTACGTCAACATGCAACGTGGCTGTATCTGAATGGTTACAGGACCTACCTAAGCTTTGACCGCCTATGCTGACAAGGCTTGGCGTCAGCCCTACTTTTTCAGGCATAATAGAAGTCCCATAGTTTTTAAGGTTTGAGGATCAAACCTTGAAAACTACACAATTATGCCTTGATTTGATGTGCGTTGAAGGGACATTGGTCGATCCGACCTGGTTGCAAAAAGGTCACGAAAACATTTCCATGCAGGTGACCTGAAATGATCTTCATCCTAAAGGTCCGCGACCTGTTCTAGACAATATTTAGTGCCATAACGATGATTCTGGTCTTAACCGAGGTTCACGACCTAACTACACTTAGCGAAATTTTTGTTGAAAGTAAAGGGTCACGTCGCTTTGCAACTGACACGCGACGAAGAGTGTTTTACGTAACGACCTCTTTAGATGTTATCCATTGCACTTTTGTAGCTGATACATTAATGAAACACCTTTTGCTCTAATAGACGTGTCATGTGCGCAATAAGTGCCAGCCATGCGCATTAAATGCGAGCCATGCTGAAACGACATTCCCTATTAGAACATTAAATGCGGATGTGGGCGCATTTAATGTAGAGGAGGGAAACGAGCCACCGCTTGAGTGTCAATGAAAAGGAATGATGATTTGGTTTCTCGAAGCGTGACAGTCACTCTTCGTCGCTGATTAGAGACACGTGATTGCGTTCAACGGTGAGATGTGATTTTCGCTCAAATGTTGTTTGACTTTGGGAAAATCAAGCGCCACTTCCTTCACTATGAAACCCTAAGCTCACCTCAGGTAATGTCTCAATACTCACTTCTTCAGAGAGAGCAAGAAACTTTCATGAGCCTTGATTTTCCATCTTTCAGACTGGTGCGTGCTTGACACTTAGAGCAGGAGGATCAATCTTCACACTCAAGAGGTAAGGGTGATTCCTCTGCCACTTTTTTCTATTTTTGATAGTTGCCATGCGGTGACAGTAAGTGTTTGCTGGTAGTTGATTGAAGAATAAACTTTCTCCTAAGGTTTGAGCCATTTGGGGTGCTCTTAAGGATTCTTTTAGGGTTTTTCTAGGGTTTAAAGGAGGAAGCATTTACTTTTTCCTCCAAGTCATCGTACTAAACAGTGTACAACGACTGAATGATTCTTGCATGTCACTTTTTTCAGACCGCATAAGAATGGACCCTCCAGCGACCAGGACAGATGAGGGAACCAGCTCGTCTGTTTAGGATGCTCCAGCGGGTCCCCCTCTGGAGATTCTATCGATGGTCACTACCAAGGAGATTCAGAAGTTGGTATACCAATACGCTCTCAGCGTAGAGGTCTACCAACATAGGACGTACACAACTCGGAATCCGCTAAAAGGAATGGCTGCGATCTCCGAGAACATTTTTAGGAGTGGAGCGTTGATTCCTTTCCACCCTTTCGTTAGGTCGATCCTCGATCACTCGCACCGCTACAGCTTATGCTGAATGCATATATGATAGTCGTGGCTATGTATATTGCATGCGGCGAAAACAGTTTGGGCGAGCTAACTGCACTAGAGCTTGGTTGCTCGTACTATCTGAAGAAGAGTAAGGACAAGGATTCCTTCTACCTCTCGAAGCGATCTATGAAATTTTTTCTTCTTTCGATGTGATGAAATTTGCCAATTTAGGGAGCCGAGTAGGTTTTCCTTTCTTTAAGTTTGAGAATTTCCTTTTAATCTTAGCTAATGAGCTTTTTTGTTTCTTCGTAGTTAACAAGATGACCAGGTTTGGCTCTCAAGGATCCTGACAGAATCACTGTTTTTGACTTTTTGCCCAAAAAGAGTCACGATACGAGACTGCACGTGACAACCGCGAACTTGCAGAAATACGATTTCTTCAATCCTGAAGCAACCTTAGAGACCATACCGAGTAAGCACCACAACCTTAGCCTGTTTTGTTATTTGCATGCAGCGAACTATTTTACTAACTATGTTCGCATGCAGCGACCATGCCTCCTAAAGTGTCTAGATCGTCGCGACCAAGGTAGTTTACCTTCCCATGAGTGGGCATCACTGGACCAGCTGGAGCGGCTCCCAGCGGTCCCCACGTCGGAGGGACACCGACGGGTGCTCCAATTTGACTTGCAAGCGTTCCACAACCTTTGGCTATTCGCCCGAGGCAAAAGACTATAGCCTAAATGCCCAAGAAGAGAAAGCAACTTAGGGCTAAAGAGTCAGAGTTCGAGTCGGAGGGTCTGGCCATCCAACCCAAGAGGTTGCAGCCTTACCAAGCGTTCCACTCAAGAGAGCCTTCTAGGGGCACGACTGGTATTTCCATTGCCCTAGAGGGTCCGCGGACAAGGCAAAGGGAAGCTGTAGGTCTTGGGAGGAGATCGGGCAAGGAACCAGAGAAGGAAACACTACCTGCTATGGGAACGGGCGCGCCGTGTTGGACTCGATAGGGGAACTTCTAGATTATTTGCAATCGGTGGTTTTCACCCTACTGGAGTGCAGACTCGTGGAGGCGATCGAGCAATTCGTGGCCTCCAACCCCATGGATTTGATGTCCACATCCTTCCAGCACCTAAGCTAGGTAAAACAAGCTGTCCTCGATGAGGACTTCTTTACATTTGCTTTGCTTTTCTCAGTAGAAAGGAAATTAACTCTTTACTTTCTTTGTTTTGTAGGCCCTGCTCTCTATGCACCTATCCTTGCAGAAGGTTCAACTGGGGGTTGCTGGGGGTTGTTGTGGGGTTGGTCGAGCTGAGAGAAGAGAATGTACGGCTTAAACGAGACTTAGAAGCAGCACAAGCTGAGAAAGACTTATCCACCATTCAGGCAAACCAGTAATTGTATGAAAGGAATGCTGCTCTTCGCAAGATGGACTTCCAAAAGGCGGAGCTGGGGAAGCGAGGAGAGAAAGTAAAGGAGCTCTAAAGGACAGTGGCGAGACTCACCAGGGAGGCTGGCGAGAAAGAGCTGGAGCTACGAACG